TTCGCATATCCTCTATGTTCTACATCACAATCAACGTGTGTTATAACTTGAACAATACAAAATCCACGCGTGATAATTATCTCCTGTGACTGGTACATCGTTATTTGAAAAGGAGGGTGATAGAATAATACGATAAGCGTATTATATAAAATACATGTTACGTTTATATATACAGGATGTTTCATAAGATCTGAAGTATTTAAAAAATGAGATTCCTAATTTGAAAACAATGTTTTTTTTTCAAATAAAATCTTAACACAATCAAAAAATAAATAAATAAATATCTAATAAGAATTGCGATAAAAATGATATAAAAAAATATTTGTTTTCTTAAATTTTGAAAAAAGAAGGTCGATATAAATTGATTTACAATATATAAATAATAAAGAAAATGTCTGTAAAAGTAACACGAAACGAAAAAAATGCTTGGCGTAAGTCAACTTTTATTTCAAATTGCTATAAAAGGTATCCCACGCATTTATTTTCCGTTTCGATACTTTCGACTTCCATAGCGGAGAAAACTCCGGACTTGTTAAAAAGCTCTGTTTTTAAACACATTACATACGTAATAATATTGCTTTCGAAGACCATTGAAAGTTTCGAAATTACCGTTGAAATCTCAAACTCAAGAACCACTGACTCATACTGCAAACTCTTATTGCAAACGTGCAGAATAGGCCAGAGATCTCTCATTTTCTAAACATATCGCATCTTAATGAACAGCCTAAATATAGAGGGTGAGTCTTTTATCAGTCGTCACTCGGTTCTAAATTCTCTTACCGTTTATGTAGGATCGCTTCAAAACGGAAGCTTCGAAACGAGTTGTTCGAGGGAATTCCCTTCCTGAAACGTTCGCGGGAAACAAGAATTGATAGAAAATTCACCCTACATGTAAAATAGATAATTAACACAAAAACGAAAACAAATAAATACGCTAAAATTAAAACATATTTGTCAATATAAATTGTAGTGTGCGGCATTCTAACTTGCTTTGGCATTCTACGTATTTTTCTTCTGTTTCTCTATTCTCGTGTCTCTTTGTCTTTGTTTCGGACGTACGAGACAAAAGTAAACGATTCGTCCTAAAACAAGAATTGTCCTCCGACACCTCTGCGGGAAAAACATTAGGTAAAAAAAAAAAAGAGATTTCGTTCCCCTCTTTTCTTTTTTTTCCTTGCTTCTTTCTTTTCCGTTTTTTTTTTTTTCTCTGATCCTTTCTTTTTTTTCAACAAGACCTATTCGTCGAAGGGATTATAGAGAATGCTAATGAAATTTCCACTGTATTTAGCACGAATGTTCCTATAATCCTCAAGGAACTCATATCGCGAACAACAAATGTTTTAATGTACATGGATTCGTGTGCATGCACCAACTTCGTCTGTATACGTACGTAACTGGATTTTTGTGTGTTAGATTATAAATATGTATCTACACACGCGCAAAAGGGAAGGGAAATAAGGTAAAAAAACGAGATGGGGCAGAAAACACGAAGTGTGACAGCAAATCGCGAAGAAGAAAATTTGTTTTGTTGGTATTCATTTGTTTCAGTCTTATAAGTACCTATACTAATCACAAAGCTTAGAGTAATGCTGTTTGTTTAAAGCTAGAATTCACAACGTAACGCGTTCAACTTGCTAATAGTATAAGCTAATTATATTGCTTTTTGTTTTCGAAGCTCTTTCTTTCTTCTTCTTTCTACAATTAATATCTACAAGAGACAGAAGCATGAAAAATCGTACTAGATGGGAACTCCACAATGTTCTCAATTCAATTTAAACGTAGCCTGATTTTTGATTGTTCAAATAACATTTGAAACAAGCATCGTGAAGGCAAGAAAAATGTAAAAATAATCTCCCTAAAAAACGAATATCATCGATCGAAATTACTGTCGTCAAGAGTAATTTCATTAACATAAAATCGTTGAAAAAAAATTCGAAGCAGGACAGAGGGGGTGGGGG